ATCTGCACTGATTCTGCTCGCGTTGGTGCGCTGGTGTGGATTCGAGACCCACGGTGGGTCTTCGTTTTGGTTTCTCCGCTTCCGTCCACCTGGGGTAGTGCGCGTTGACCTGGCAGGTCAACGCTAATTATGCGATGCGGTTCCCAACAAGCACGGCGCGCGACTCCAAAACACGCGAGGTGGGCGTGTGAGGGATGGGAGAGAGGATAGGGAGAAGACCAGCGCTGCGTCTCTGCGCGCTCACATAAAAGTTCTTTCTTTCATGCCCTTCACGTTCTTCTCAGTGCCAGGAATTCTTATGTGCTTAAAAATGTGCAAATGGGCGGACGGCGGGGACAAGGTAAGGATCCGCCCAAGTACTCAAAGTTCTGTTTACTAAGGGTAGCTTGGATTACGAGTTGTTGTAATTCATGATAACCAATGTTACCATAGCCCTCACGCTATTTGAGCATCGGTGTGCCGAAGTCATGCACGCACACCAACATAAAAAGGCGGACCCAGTCCCTGCGTCTTACGCTTGACTAGGATTCCAGCCCTCCAAGATGTGCGCTTCCTGCACCAGCACGCTTCCAAAAACTTGTTGACCTATGTCCTTATATCCTGTGAGGCTCATGCGTTTCTCGCTTCTTAACATGCGCTTGGGTGGGGGTCAAATTGATCCCCCAAAGGTTCTTCCAGAATGGTATCCGAACGGCGTGGCGTAGCCGCGCCAAATTTTGCATAGCTGTAGACAGTTAAATATCGGATCGTTTGGCATCAAAAATTTAGATGTACCTTGTAAAGTCGCTGACCTATGGCAGGTCAAAGTCAGACCATGGTTTCAGCGAAGGCAATTTCTAGGGAATCATTCAATCTGACCAAACAACGGAGTGCTAGACGAAGTCACACATCTCTGAGATGCTTTTTTAGGCAGCACAACAGTTGAATGAGCAAATTAAATCGACCTAAGGTCAGGTATGAAGGTCACACGAAGGTAAAAACCAACCTGTTTCGCTACTCTGGGGCTTGCTGTATGGGATAGTTTCTGGTACTCATTTCGAGTTTATTGATAGCAGGAACCGCATTATACATCTTCCATGGACTTCTTAGAGGTCAGAATAGGTGATTGACCTAAAATGACCCAGGCCAACATTTTGGTCTAGGAACATACTGCCCAGCGTAATCTTTGTCGCTTAGTCAAATGCAAAACTCAAAGCAATCTTGCATGATTTTGGTTACCTTGACCTTCAAAAGGTAAAACAAGGACACTGACCTTGAATGAGAATGTGATCTTTTGCTTAGAAACGGTTATCTAGGTTCTGGGGGCACTTTGGACACCAACCTAAAACGTGGCCTTGTTTGACCTTTTCTGACCCGAAGGTCATAACCTAGGAACCTGAAACTTTGACCTAAGTGAGTTCACATACAGGTCAATACACCCTACAAATTTGGTGTTTCTGGCTTTCTTAGTTCCCAAGATCTCAGGGGGTCAAATCGACCCCCCATCCGAGCGAAGGGTATCTATCTGACACCCGGGAGCGTGTTAAGGTAAAGGAGATTAGAGCACAGGCGTAGGAACGTTTCGAGTCGTGTGGAGGGCGTGGGGCGGGGGGGGGGGTGGGGGGGGCAGGCTCGCGTGTACTTAAGGAACCCCTGATAGTGCCCCTTCCTCCAAAAAAACCCAGATGTAGCTCACTTATTCATTCACAATCAGTTACCGAGAAAAAGCTATGTGGCATGGTTTCGAACATACGCGCTCGCAAATCTTAGCAACAACCTCGACGCCCGGCGTTGCAGTCTCCATGGGCCGCGCCGCGTCGGCTTTGCTGCTGGCATTAGTAGCTGGTAAGTGACGGCTAACGAGCAGATAAAAACATGGCGCATCTGAAAAAGTGTCTTAAAACGCTTCAGGACATCTATTCGTACGCTTAGAAATTAGTCCGGTGAACTGTGCGATTTTTAGATTGATAATAATGATGGATTATTCTTTACGGCACCGCGATGTGTTGCTGGAATATGGTGGTGGAAGCCGGAAGACATACGCCACATTCTAGTCCTTGAATGGTTTAAACCCATTCTAAAAAAATCGTAAGCGTTGTTTTTGGCAGTCGTTTTTGCGCCCGGCGCGTGGTTTCTACTTCCGACTCACGAAGGGGTAGGGGGGCTCTAAAGCTAGCCAAGGGCCCCGCTATCCCTAAGTAGATCATTCTGGTTCGAAACTTCGGCCATCTGATGCTTGAAATGGGCCTCCTGAGTATAGAGGGTGCCTCTTAACCCAGTGAAGTTTCCTCCTAGCCTGTTAAGTGGCCCTCCCGAGCCAGCCAAGCTGCCTCCTTGACACATCATAGACCTCCTAATCCATTGACCTCCTAGAGCATGACCTATCTTATTTATAAATGAGGCCCCAAAGGCAGTAGCTGTCCTGGCGTCCGTGGGTGCCCTGGTGGCGTGTTCTACACGTCCAGACCCGCCCCCGGTCCTCCCGCGGCAGCTGTCCGTCTTGGCGTCCGTGGGCGCCCTGGTGGCGTGTTCTACACGTCCAGACCCGCCCCCGGTCCTCCCGCGGCAGCTGTCCGTCTTGGCGTCCGTGGGCGCCCTGGTGGCGTGTTCTACACGTCCAGACCCGCCCCCGGTCCTCCCGCGGCAGCTGTCCGTCTTGGCGTCCGTGGGCGCCCTGGTGACGTGTTCTACACGTCCAGACCCGTCCCCGGTCCTCCCGCGGCAGCTGTCCGTCTTGGCGTCCGTGGGCGCCCTGGTGGCGTGTTCTACACGTCCAGACCCGCCCCCGGTCCTCCCGCGGCAGCTGTCCGTCTTGGCGTCCGTGGGCGCCCTGGTGGCGTGTTCTACACGTCCAGACCCGCCCCCGGTCCTCCCGCGGCAGCTGTCCGTCTTGGCGTCCGTGGGCGCCCTGGTGACGTGTTCCAGACGTCCAGACCCGCCCCCGGCTCTCCCGCACCATTCACCAGCCCCAGTCGCGACACCTTCACCGATGCAGCTGCAAAACGGACCAGCGCGGCGCGAACGGACGTGCGCCACCCGCCGCTGGTGAGGTCAGGCCCGCCGTTCGAGGAACCGTCGGCAGCCTGGCCTCGACATCGGCCCCACTACCGGAGCTTCGAATAAATACTCGAAAAAGCGCTGCCCGCTTCCCAATCTCGGGATGACGTTGGTTTGAGTGCACGAATTTTTGAGTGATTTTCAGCTACAGCCCATGTCATCGTTGGTCAAAACTAGTTTCGATTTTTCATAAATATGCTTAATTTACCAACGGCTCTGTCAATTGAAAATGGGTCTTCCCAAATTGTCAACTAGGTAGTGTCGTAACCGATTGTCCTGCATTTAACTAAAGAGACAGAATCAAGACTGTCAAGCTGTTGCTGACATTCTTAATGGGTTGCCATGATGCAAGATGATGTGCCTGCAACAAGGACACAGTTTTGTAAAATTGCCCCTGTTAAGTTGGGGGGGGGGGGGGGAGCACTGAAAAACAACAGGGTCTACCCTCAAGTTACTCCAGCAAATGAGTTACTCCTCCGATTTCGCCTAGCTTCTTCTCGAATTGGGGGGGGAGGGCCTTACGAACATTCATGACACAATGATAGCCTATTCGAACTATTACGATATGAGCATTTGCACACATTTCCCGCGGTACCCGCCCCTCCTCTCAGGACGAGAGGAGAGCGACGCCGTATAGCCTCAGCAGATGAGTGCGTCTTAAAGCTCCAATAACGACGGCGAACATTTGTACAAGTGCGTATTCTCGCATCGCAAATTTTAGATAACACGAACGTCGGCCAAATGTTTTTTTACGCACGCGTGCATAAGTGAGCACGAACGTCATGATTAAGATGTCCGTGAAAACAGCGTTTTGTTCAGGGATTTCTACAGCGACAAGCTCCAATTTCTCTAAAAAAGTCTCAAGATGAAATATGGCGCGAAAACATCGTCAACGACCTATATTTTACAATTCATGTGACATTCGAGGTCAAAGGCTTGGTCAAAGGACGGGGAACCCAATATCACCCAAAAATTACCCACCGATTTGAAAGCTGCAAGCACATAGATATTCAAAAGCGCAAAAGCTAACATCCGTCAAAAAGTTCTGACCCTTCAAGACCACCCTTCAAGGCCAAACGTGGGCTCAAAGGACGAGGAACTCAATATCACCCAAAAATTCTGGTCGACTCTAAACTTACAAACATTAAGATATCTTAACGCTCAAGAGCTAACGTCTGTCAAAAAGTCCTGACCTCTCAAGGGCATCCTTCAAGGTCAAATTTAGGCTCAAAGGACGGGAACTCCAAATCATCCAAAAAGAACCGACCGATTTTAAACTTGCCAGCACCAGAATGTTCACCACGGAAAGAACTACAGATCCTTTTTGATATTTGCAAGTTCTAGTTCATTCTGACATTTGCAAATTTAAAATCAGCCAGTAACTTCTGGGTGATATCGAGCTTCCCGTCCTTTGAGCCCGCATTTGACCTTGAAGTATGACCTTGAAATGTCAGGACTTTTTGACGGAGACTCTAGCTCTTCCCTTGTGAATATTTCGACGCATTTTGCGAATCGGCCAGGTAATTTTGGGGTGATATCGGATTTTCCATGCATTGACCCAGTTTTTTGCCTCAAAGGTCACATGCTATTGTAAAATGACGGTCATTTTCGATTTTCTCGTGCTATTATTCACCTTGAGAACTTTTCCAGGGAAATTAGAGCTCGTCATTTAATAAACCGCTGAATACATCGCCAATTTCACGAACATCTGATGACGAACATTTGTGTTTGGTGACATCTGCGTGTCTATGTTTGCGATGCGTACATTTGGTTTACATACATACATTTATCTTCGGCTTGCGGCCTGAAAATTTACTCTCAACACACCGAAGAAAAACTACTACCTTCGGAACAGAGCTACCAAAGTCTGCCATATCGTACCCAGGGAGCACGCAAGCACACATACACCTTAGCCGGTAGGGTCTAGCGGGAATTGGAGTAAATGTGGTCCTCAGTGGGGTATTAAACAGTGGAGGGAGGGCATGTCTTCCGTCTAAATTCAAAAGAACCTGGGTGGTTTGGAAATTGCTGAGGGAAGCATATGTAGGTTTCACCAAATTAAATATGCATATGTGATTTGAAAGAGTAGTTTGGACTCATAGTTTTCGATAATTTTGACTGCATCTCAAAGTGCAGTTCTTCAAGCTGCATGAGATGAAATAATAAGCTTCATTTCTGAAAAATGGAGTTCAGGCTTTTTTGTCTTTGGATGACATATGTGTCTGCTGGTCAAATCTTTGCATGTCTTCATATGCATGTGTAATCAAGGCCAATAATAAAAAATCAAGGTAGACATGTAATCCAAGCAATGCAAAAAACATGATGTTATTTTTTATGCAAAAATGCTGATTGTCAGCAGTTGAATTATGGTTTAAAGGTTCTAGGTGTGCTCATATTGTCAGCAGTTACATTTTAGCTTAAAGTCTCTAGTCATGCTTCTCCCCTCTCCTACCTGTTCCAAGATCTTGTGTACCCTGCCAGTATACCCTGATCTGCTAATCCTTTTCTTTTAAAATGTTTTTTCAGCATTGTTCCATATATTGTGAATATGATGCTTTGGCATGAGGGAGTGTATTGGATATTATCCCATGCATTATATGTTGTCATTGTCTTGTCAGGTGTTACTTGTGTACTGCTTATTGACCAGTAATTGTTGTATTCTGAGATCATTGAAATTTACAGGCACAATGGAGCTAAGACAGAGGAAGAGTGTTATAGAAGCTGTCAAGCAGCTGGATGCCTTCCCCAAAATATCAGACACATATGTGGAAACCACCAGATCAGGAGGCACAAGTAAGCAGATACAAGTTATTAAAACATGCATGAGCATTCTTTTCATTGTCTTGTCATTGTCTGCATTGTCTTATTGAGTTTTTGATGACATGTTTACTGGTATGGCCCAGTACTGCAAGGTACCAGGTCATCATATTGGACCTAGTACCCAATTATTCTCATGATGTATATATAACATCATAGTTTGCATTGCAAGTGCAAACAACTACATACTTTCAGATGTTTCCCATTTTTTACATATATGCTATGTATTGTTCTGAATCTGAGCATGTAAGAATACTGGAAGGTTGGGAATTAAATATAGTTTCACATGATTTTACCTTTGTTGACCTGGCCTGCAAGCATCAGCAAGCTTTAAGAATATCATTGAGGCCACATGTCATGCTATGTATCAAATACAGCTGCTAGATGTATGCCATGTTTTCTCCTGTTTTATCTTTCATCCATAATGGTTCCCAGCCTCTGTTGTCAGAGCTGGTATTTGCTTTGTGGCTTCATCTCTATTTGGACAAGGTTAATTTAAGATGATTGACATAATCTAAAAGAGTGCTTTGATGGCTGTCTTCCCACATCTCCCCATAGTGAAGGAATTACACAATGACTTCATTATGCCATCTAAAATACCTTGTGCCTCACAACCCTCATATGATATACTATTGCCATTTAGGCAAGGGTCAGTCTGGACAATCTTCAAATTATGGAAGAAATATTATGACTGCTGTGGCATAGGAAGGCTGACTTTTCCTGTTATCTGCTCATGGTTGATGGGGTAATCACAGGAACAGGCAATTGAAGGTGGAAAACAGGAAGTCATCTGCTGCAAGAAGAATATTCCTGGGTTATTAGGACAGGCCAGGTGTTTACTAAAGGCAAAATATTTGGCCAAGCTGTGGCATTGTAGTGATATATTTAATCAGAGGCTGAGTGCTTAAAAGCTTAAACAACCCAAGATTTTCAGCTTTATTTGGGTTCCATAGCTCCCTTGAGGCAAGCTATTACTTCTAAGGTTTCTTATTTTTCTGAAACGGATGTAGACATTGCAGCATATTTTTCTAGTGATCATCTGATGCAATCCGCTGCTGCCCGGATAGCTGAATGGGAATCCGAAAAGCCTCTTGTCAGGTGTTTTTTACATCTTGCGCATCAAGCTTTTGCCTTGGGTCACATCTCGCTTTGGGGACGTTTGCAAGGTGTTTAATGACTTTTGTAGCCCAGCTTATATGCCATCACTAGTCATTCCATCAAACTGTTGTGTAACAATAGCACAGGTGTCAATTACTGGGACCACTTCCATAGGGTACTCCAATTTTGCTATTTTCCTGTTTCAGTAAGTATCCTGACATTTGGGGTGATGCTGTTGCTGGTAGTCACAGAAATTAGATACTACATGTCGTCATTCAAGTTCCGGTTCGAGCCCGATGTCGACATGGACGCCAAGTTGCCTATTCACTGTGGATATCATTGTCGGCATGCCTTGTGGAGGTAAGTGCGTTCAGGCGGTGTGCGTATTGATCGGATGTACAACTGTCAACTGTCGCTTTCTGGAGGCATGCAGGGTCATTTCACCTAGCTACCTAATACCCAATATGGCGTCACATGCGAAGAAGCGTATTGGCCCCTTGTATGCACCTGATTACTTTGATCAGTCCAAACATGTACCATCATCCGTTGATCCGGTGATCCGTTGCCGAATCAGCGGTGGGAGCAGACATCATGGACTCCACAAATGAAAATGTGTTCAGCTTCGGCCGGCTGAAGGAAGAGAACACCTGGTGGGAGATGACGCCTGCTCAGGAAGACCACTTCAGGATGGCCCAGACGGTGAGAAATAACACATGTGGATATGGCAGCAAGTCAAAAGTGGAACTAGCGACACGAACTCTTGATCTTTCCCATGGACAGTATCATTTGTCATCCCTAATGCACTATTTTGACCCGGAGTTTGATTGGACGCTATAGGCCGTGCGCCACTTGCGTAAGTCGGTGCAGGCTTTGGTTGATAAGCCGCGCGCTCGGAAAATCAGACGTACAGGGTCGGGTTCCCCGCGGTGCTCGCCCTTGCTGGCAGGGTGAGAGGCAGGCGACGCCATATAGCCTCAGTAGCCAAGTATGCCATAAAGGTTCTGTGACGACATAAGGTCGTTGTTTTTTATTAATTAATGGCCACTATGGATTTGTGCAAGTGCAGGAAGGACCTCAAATATGTGTATCCAGTTGTGTGGCCTTTCAGGCTGGGTTAGAAACCAGGAGCTTCTGCTAGCGTGAAACCCCGGTAACGTTGAGGTGCGTTGTCCCACCTGACGCGTTGTCAAGTGTTGAGGTGCAGTGTCCCCAGCTGACGCGTTGTCAAGTGTTGAGGTGCAGTGTCCCCAGCTGACGCGTTGTCCAGTGTTGAGGTGCAGTGTCCCCAGCTGACGCGTTGTCAAGTGTTGAGGTGCAGTGTCCCCAGCTGACGCGTTGTCAAGTGTTGAGGTGCTGTGTCCCCAGCTGACGCGTTGTCAAGTGTTGAGGTGCGGTGTCCCCAGCTGACGTGTTGTCCAGTGTTGAGGTGCAGTGTCCCCAGCTGACGTGTTGTCCAGTGTTGAGGTGCTGTGTCCCCAGCTGACGCGTTGTCAAGTGTTGAGGTGCGGTGTCCCCAGCTGACGTGTTGTCCAGTGTTGAGGTGCTGTGTCCCCAGCTGACGTGCTGTCCAGTGTTGAGGTGCAGTGTCCCCAGCTGACGTGTTGTCAAGTGTTGAGGTGCAGTGTCCCCAGCTGACGCGTTGTCAAGTGTTGAGGTGCGGTGTCCCCAGCTGACGTGTTGTCCAGTGTTGAGGTGCTGTGTCCCCAGCTGACGTGCTGTCCAGTGTTGAGGTGCTGTGTCCCCAGCTGACGCGTTGTCAAGTGTTGAGGTGCAGTGTCCCCAGCTGACGCGTTGTCAAGTGTTGAGGTGCGGTGTCCCCAGCTGACGTGTTGTCCAGTGTTGAGGTGCTGTGTCCCCAGCTGACGTGCTGTCCAGTGTTGAGGTGCTGTGTCCCCAGCTGACGCGTTGTCAAGTGTTGAGGTGTAGTGTCCCCAGCTGACGCGTTGTCAAGTGTTGAGGTGCGGTGTCCCCAGCTGACGTGTTGTCCAGTGTTGAGGTGCTGTGTCCCCAGCTGACGTGCTGTCCAGTGTTGAGGTGCTGTGTCCCCAGCTGACGCTTTGTCAAGTGTTGAGGTGTAGTGTCCCCAGCTGACGCGTTGTCAAGTGTTGAGGTGCGGTGTCCCCAGCTGACGTGTTGTCCAGTGTTGAGGTGCTGTGTCCCCAGCTGACGTGCTGTCCAGTGTTGAGGTGCTGTGTCCCCAGCTGACGCGTTGTCAAGTGTTGAGGTGTAGTGTCCCCAGCTGACGTGCTGTCCAGTGTTGAGGTGCTGTGTCCCCAGCTGACGCGTTGTCAAGTGTTGAGGTGCAGTGTCCCCAGCTGACGCGTTGTCAAGTGTTGAGGTGCAGTGTCCCCAGCTGACGCATTGTCAAGTGTTGAGGTGCTGTGTCCCCAGCTGACGTGTTGTCAAGTGTTGAGGTGCAGTGTCCCCAGCTGACGTGTTGTCAAGTGTTGAGGTGCAGTGTCCCCAGCTGACGCGTTGTCAGTGTTGAGGTGCAGTGTCCCCAGCTGACATGTTGTCAAGTGTTGAGGTGCAGTGTCCCCAGCTGACGCGTTGTCAGTGTTGAGGTGCAGTGTCCCCAGCTGACGCGTTGTCAGTGTTGAGGTGCAGTGTCCCCAGCTGACGCATTGTCAGTGTTGAGGTGCTGTGTCCCCAGCTGACGTGTTGTCAGTGTTGAGGTGCAGTGTCCCCAGCTGACGCGTTGTCAAGTGTTGAGGTGCAGTGTCCCCAGCTGACGCATTGTCAAGTGTTGAGGTGCAGTGTCCCCAGCTGACGCGTTGTCAGTGTTGAGGTAGTGTCCCCAGCTGACGTGCTGTCCAGTGTTGAGGTGCGTGTCCCCAGCTGACGCGTTGTCAAGTGTTGAGGTGTAGTGTCCCCAGCTGACGTGTGTCCAGTGTTGAGGTGCAGTGTCCCCAGCTGACGCATTGTCAAGTGTTGAGGTGCAGTGTCCCCAGCTGACGCGTTGTCAAGTGTTGAGGGTGCAGTGTCCCCAGCTGACGCGTTGTCAGTGTTGAGGTGCAGTGTCCCCAGCTGACATGCTGTCCAGTGTTGAGGTGCAGTGTCCCCAGCTGACGTGTTGTCAGTGTTGAGGTGCAGTGTCCCCAGCTGACGCGTTGTCAGTGTTGAGGTGCAGTGTCCCCAGCTGACGCATTGTCCAGTGTTGAGGTGCAGTGTCCCAGCTGACGCGTTGTCAAGTGTTGAGGTGCAGTGTCCCCAGCTGACGCTGTTGTCCAGTGTTGAGGTGCTGTGTCCCCAGCTGACGCGTTGTCAAGTGTTGAGGTGTAGTGTCCCCAGCTGACGTGCTGTCCAGTGTTGAGGTGCTGTGTCCCCAGCTGACGCGTTGTCAGTGTTGAGGTGTAGTGTCCCCAGCTGACGTGCTGTCC